CACAGGTTCCTTTCACACAGATAAGGAAGATAATGGCAGCAGGCTCAGTGGACACTGTGCTGTCACGACTTCCCGAGACTGGAAGTGTGCATGTCATGTGGCTCATCTCGCATAAAACGGCACGGATCGGGCGACAGACCTGGCTCCTCCGTCCAATCTTACTGTATCGACTGGAATATATCTTACGAAATCTTCAAGCGTGCGTCGCTGTTTTGGCAGTTGATAAGAGCTGGGGTAGATCAGCGGATTTTAGTTCATACCGAGCGTCTGAGTCTGCGCTTTTAGAGCCAATTCGGCTGAGGTGCCCGATGCCTCCGATGCTGTGCTGAGTTAGGAGGTACTTCGTGCCGTCCTGTACGAAATTTAAGATCTTTTTCTAGCAAAATGCGTTCTCTGTGGCCCGCGGAAATGGGTGGGTAAACAACGCTTCGCTAGCATTGAAACGATCTTCACGTGCTATTCCCGCTCCCTCTGCGCTACCCTGGTTGCCTTAAGAGTTTGTGGTGTGCAGTGTATATAACAACTTTACGTGGTCTTACTCATCCGTAAATACATTTCTGGGAGATTTCATCTCGTCGTTTGTTATAAAGGCTCACTGCAAGTGCCTGTTCTGCTGTATCTTATGCCATTCAGCCAATATCTGGCACTAGTCTCGTTCACGAGCTGCGTTAACCGCGATCGGTCACACAAATTAACGTATCTGGATATTGGCGGGACGTTCTCACTGAGATTCCATATTTTTTTGCATTGTTGTGCAGCTCAAAAATCCGGTAGCCATGACCTAAGTATGGCAATGCTGGTTTATCAGCAGTATAACAGGTAGGAGGTTTTCAGCTTAAAGGGTAGGGGGCTCGCCGAGGTCGCGGGGATTGGTAAGTGGAAGATGCCGAAATACTTATCACATGAGATTTCGAAAGCAGGAGCAACATTTTTGATTGTTTGATACCAAATGAGACGTCAGAAATTGAGCCATCAGCTTTTCGCAACTTCCCGAAACCTTCCCAGAATCATTCATTTGGTCGTTATTCTGCGTTTGACATGTATACGCTATACACTATACAGACCTGTTTATCGACACGTGAACCCTTTCCCAGCTTGTTTCGCGACCACGAGAGGCGTCGAATCTCAAGAGGAGGTTTGGGGCTAACATTCGCTGCTTGCGTTAGATCCGGGATGTCAGTACGTTTGGGCCTCCCAAGGTGCGGGTGCAACTGCTCGGTCATGTGACTGGTTGCTCGGCTGCGCCGTGCGGGCAAGGTCAAGGCCAAGATCAGCTGCGGGTGTGGACGGCCAAAGCCGTCCGCACGTGGTGTGGCATCAAAATCCCTGACAAAGTTGGCACGCTGCCAATGATCCGCTGTAGATGAGCTGGGCCGAGAAGCACCTGATTCTTCTGCTGGTTCTTTGGTCGTGACGCCACCACAGCGTGGCGATCCCGCCGTGAAGGTGATTGTGCATTACGGGTACATTTTCAGACACTTTCGAAACTTCAGTTTTTGAGTCGGGTTAACGCTGTTGCTGCTCCGTTCTTCGTGCGGCGCGTGATGCCGCATGGTCAGAAACGCAGCCGGAGTCTTAGTCGGTGGGGTAGCTCCGCCTAGATTGACAAAGGGTCCGCTGATGGTTAAGTTCTTCCCCCCCCCCCTACCCCTAAATCACCGTATTTTCATCTCTGAACATTGGGAGAGTCCGTTTTTTTCTTTTTATGGTTGTTTTAAGTACGTTTACTATAAAAGAAGTAAGGTTCTCACGGAATATGCATTCGTGTTTGCATTGAGAAGTCGACGAACTGAATACATCAGACATAAAATGACTGCATCAAATAACCGCTGGCGCCAAGCAATGTAAATCAGGTGCTTTCTGGCAATATTTAATTCTTTGAACGAATGGATATGGAATAGTGTCATAGTGTCATAATGAATGATGAATGGAGGACAAATGCAGCTGGTCCGGCGTTGCACTCTCCACAGGCCGCAGCTTCAACTCCGCTGCCAACACAGGACTTTGTGACACCCATTCGTACGTTTTCGCTTGCGCTGATTTCAGATTGGTAATGGGAACGAAATAGCACGACTGCACCACAGCTCATTACGCAGCACCAGGAGCCCTTACCGCAGTGGTAAAATCTTTATTGGGCTTCATGGCAGCGTCATTCCGTTCTGAGGGCCTCCTCAAAATCATGCAGGTTAAAGATACGTCCCAGTCTAACCTAGAGGCGTTCCACATTGATCTTAGAGGCTTTGGAAGCATTACTATACGATCCCTGGTCGTTGCAGGGTGCTTGGCACCCACTGGCAGCCGCCAGCTGCGGCGACCAATGTTCCCGGTTGATGGAAGCTGCGACGTCGGGCGCCGGTGCCGTTGCTCCTGAATATTGCCTGCGCGTGCACTCAAAGCTTTTGATATTATTTGTTTCACTGGTCTGTTCTGAGAGCGGAAAGGCTGTCCTGAGGCTAAGATGGGTAAGCTACATCAATACAAATCTATGATGCTGTCCCGATTCGTCATAGCGAACACTCACGAGACTCCCTACGTTTCCCGGGCGATGGGCTCCGTGGGTTAAACACTGGAGATAAATGCTTTTTTCCGGTCAAGGGTTGAAAGACCACTCGGTCTCAGGCTGGAGTACCTATCTTACTGCGGAGTATCCACGCCGGCTTTTTGTGTACTGTCTTTCCGGCTATTTTGCATTTCTGCATTTCCTTTTTTCATCCTGGCGAAACGATGCCGTTGTTTCTGGTCGATCGGGAGGCTCTCGGAGAGGTGCATCATACATCAAAGACGCAAAAGGTTCCCTTTACCGGCACAGGGGTCCAATAATTGACGCTAGGACCACAGTCCGGCCTCAGTGTACCCCTGCCTGGAATGTGGCAGATGCTCCCCGTCTGAAACTAGGGCCCTTGGCTGTCACGGGGCATCCTCTCATTGTGAGCTCGCATCTCATATTTTCATAGTTCTCATATTTTGCATATCAAGTTCTCACACCTTCAGTACCAGATGAAGGGACGACGAAAGAGGCCCTCGGCCGCGACCAACGAAAGAGGCCCGGGATTCGGGATTCCGTCCCTGTCCCTGTTCAGGAAATGTGCGCCCCGGCCGAGTGTGCCTGAGCTTCTTTCTGACCAAAGGCCTCTGTTAGCCACTACAGGCAAAAGCGATTCTATATTTTTCTCTGGGTGGAGTTTGCACCCCCCGCCCCCAAACGCTACATTGAGCCACCTGAACTCCCCTGAGCCCCTCAAAGCATGTGAGGTAAGAGGGAATGCTGGGCGAAATAAATGAATACAAATTATGTTGACTATTATGCTCAGTTCCTCGACACGTCACTATTATTATGCACATCCTGACCGAATAAAACCCTGTAGGCACCCATGGTTTTGTCACCGAACTCCTCGATAGTTTAGGGCAGTTTGCATCTGTTTGCCAAATTATTCACGTGCTAACGCTTGGATTGAGATCAATACAAATTTACTGGCAGCATTTCAAAGTACCGGTTGGCCCAAATCAAACTTAATCCATGTTTCTCGCAACAATGACAAGTATATTTGTCGGCAATCGTGGCTGTACTAGTCATTTAAATGCCAGGTGAAAAACCTACAACACGATCAGCGACAGCGGTGGTCATCAGTGGTCGCCTGCTAAGATTTACTGAGAAGCGTTTCACGTTGAATTGCATCCCGGTCTAAGCTTATCATAATGAGGCAGCTTGGCATGAGCTTGCAATGGTCAGTCATGTGTCCCCAGCAAAACCATTTCGACACACATTCTTGTAAAATCGAAGTCATGCTTTGAAGCGGTCGAAATCCAGCGATAAATTGGGTTTGGGGGAGGTTAAGTCAACCTTTTCGACGCAGCAACCGACCGATTTTAAAAAGTAACAGCCCTGGCGGTAGGCGTCTGACCCGCACAGGGACTCCGCGTTGTTCCAGGGCTCCCGGTCAACACAGATCGCGGGCCCCGGCCTTGTCGCTGCTTTGGATTTGGCTCCAGAGCCCAAACCTGCAGTCCGTGGCCCTTCATTAATACGGCCCCCGGCCAGCCCTTCGGGTTCTTCATCCGGCGATGAACAGCCCGGAGAAGAGCCTCGGGGCCAGTTAGGTCGGGCCCTCGGGGCCGGATCTAACGGGAGGAGGGGGAGGGGGGGGGGGGGTTGCTTGTGACCACCGAGCTCACGCAACCGACACCGACGGCTTGGTGGCGGTTGGACCGGCCGTCTTGGCACAGCGCGCACGAAAGCACGCGCACTGACAAATGAGCAGCCATGCCTGCGGACATCCGGAGCCGAGCATTTACAACTGACTGCGACACGCGCGGTCTGAATACGGTACATACATGCATAACGCATCTTCGGATCCAGCCTCGGCTGAGAAACTTGCGCTGCATAGTTTGCATGCCTTTCTCTTTCCCCACCGAAGAGAAAATACTTTTCTTTTCCCCAGTCACAAGACCCTTAAGGCTTCAAACGAGCCTATGAAATTGAGCTAGTTGTACCTAAGCGCATATCAGGGCAGAGAAGTGCATGGTAACTGGGATCCGTTGCGACACTGTTCAGATGCCATCGGCGCGCACTTTTTTCCTCACCAATTGGTTTGGTAGTGATCGGTTCGGCAAGTTCTGAGTGAGCTATGAGCTGTCTGCAAGCAAGAATTTTGGAAGTTATAAAATTTGGCGACTTTTTACCTGATCTGGGTCATCAAGTTTTCAATTTACAGACAAAATCACGTATGGCGCATCCAATAGTGAACGTTTCACAACGATCGGTGCAGTAGGCTTCGAGATCCGAATGATGTTCGTTTGCACGCAAGATATTCCCTTCGCGTCTTTGAGGTATTTGACGTCAGATCAGGTCTTTAGATTGCCTCCCCATGACTCACCACCTTACACGGAGTCGATTGGGAAAGATTTCAAGGTGGTCAGAGCACCCGACTCGCAGAACGCGCGTGTCTGCTTCATATGCCGGTGTTTTAGGCCTTGCCGCGTTTTAGTCGTCGGCCTTTGCACTGAGCGTTCGGCCATTTTGCTGTACTGTCGGCGTCGTCGAGCGCGAAGGGGGTTGACCGTGGCATTGTGGTTCGTTTATCAGCATTAAAGTGACGGGAACGATTTGCTCAACAGCTCGTATTTAGGATAAACAAAAGAACCAGCAGGTCCTGGATGGGAACTTGGACGTGAGTAACCTGGCGTGGCGTGAACCGGCGCACAGCGACATCGGGGGTGGGTGCTTTGGACGTGCCGGTTTTCAAGTCATGCATTGAATACAAATGCTAATGCCGGATGTTGCCTAAGCTGTGGGAAGTTGTGCTTTTTGCCTTCCTGCACTCCCTAATTCGTTGTCTGTTTTGCTGTATGACACAGAGTAAGGTGCATGAAATTAGTGTTTTTAGTGCAGCTCAGCACTTGTTTTTTTGCGGGCAGAGTTTTGCTGTAAAACACCAACTGTATGGATGTACAAAATGTGCTTGCACAGGGAGAAGTAACAGTAGACCTGTGTAGCAACAGATACATGTACCTTATCTACCCATGATATTCAAACATAAAACCTACAGCAGACTATTAGCTGGATGTAAGTGCTCAAGCAACCAAAATGATTAGCTGATCAAGGGGTTTGTGTGGGTTTGGCATCAATTTTGGTGATGAGAAAGCCGGCAATTCAAAGAATGTCTTGTTGCAAAGGTTTTGTTCTCCAGAAATACTTCAGAATACTTTTTAATGAGAATATAAAGAAACATTTTTTTACTCGCTGGTCTCGCCTCAATTGGGCACGGGTTGTAGTGAAATAATTGATGTAGGCAGTTTGTGCTATACATGGATTCTTTTTGTAGGCTGATTCCTCTCCATTGTTTTGCTAGTTACACTCCATTCAGTGTTTTGTCTTTTTAGAGATTACAATTTATAAATGCCCCATATGGCTAGGCCAGGATAGTAGTAGAGGACCTTTAAGGATTCTGTTCTTCTCTTCAAACAGCAGTCAGTGTTCCTGTACTAGTATCAACACTGCAATTGGTGTATGTCCCTGGTCATGGTCTCAGGCTGTCCCAGCAAACATCCTGATGCTTGTGAAGCTGATGTTAGATGTGTTCGGACAATATATTATTTTGACTGACTGTCTACCTCCATTTGGCATAGTTGGAGAAGGAGGATGGGTGTAGGGGGTGCAATTGTGGGTTTGGGTTTAAGTACAGTTCATAGGACTGATCCCTCTAGGCTGCTTCAACTTCTAGCCTGTTCAAATGGTTCACTCACCTGCATTCAGCCTGGCAGGGCCTGATATATAATTATCCTGTTACTTCTAGTTGTCCTTTAGCTTTTACCAGTGAATTTGAAGGGCATGAAGTCTGTTGCATGGGGAGCTGGGGTAGAGGATGAGTCAGTTTGGTGGCTTTCTACTGCACCCTTTCTACAGCGTCTTGCTCCTTTATTGTGCTGGCTGCATACTTACACATCAGCAGTGCAGTTTCCTTTTGTAGGTGACCATTTTCCTCTGTAACTTGGACTCCAGGTCCCTTGAGGTTGAGAAGAAAACATGCCAAACTGTGGGGAAAACCTGCTGGGGTATGTTGTGGACCAGCCACACTTTTTCTTACTGCTCAGCCCACCACTCCAGGCTATGTTTCAAAACAAAGCTCCTGATAAACTGTGCCTATGCAATCCAGAGTTCACCTACTGATACTGACACAGACAGCTACCCTCAAAGTATTTGGGCTAACATCCTGAAGTACTATGCAGTTTTCTGGGTGCCACGTGATGAAAGATCTGTTAGCTTTCACAGAAAGAGCATGCAAAATGGTGACTGAATTAGGCAGTAGTATTAGAAGCCCATTTTGTGAAAAGAGGGAAGTGCAACTGATTGTTTTGTTAAAACATAGGTAGTTGTGGACATATATTGGATTCCTTAGATTTGTGCCTGCTCAAGAGCAGGTCTATCTCTGAGAATCTCAGGCTGATAGAAACATTATGGTGAGAGAACATAATGGGAGTAAGCCAGGCATAAGGGGTGTTTATCAGAGAGAAAATTATTCAACAAATGATTATCTCAGGTAATCAGTCACTGAGATTCTCCAGCAGGTCCAGAAATGATCCCTCAGTTTTGTCTCACATTTGCTGCACAGAGCCAACAGTCACAGCAAGGCATGGCAAGATAAAGTCTCTGTCTTGACCATGCTCAGAAAAAATATCCAGGATTTACTATGGGCACATATGATTATATGTATCTAATAACAATATATATGTGTAGTAATCAGAATGATTGTATGTTCCATAATCTGCCATAGTTTTCATGTTTTCAGCTCTGGATGCCATTGTGGAAAATTTTCCAACATTCCTGATAATTTGTCAAGATTGGTTTCCTGCTGACTTTGCCACATGATGAACCCTGTTATCATTGTCATCCATTCATATTTTATGCAATTCCCTTTGTGCTTGCAAATCAGGTGCATGTTTGTATGAGCCCTTTCAAATGCTCTCCAGTTGCAAACAACTAATGATGTTTTATCCTTAAAATAGCAGTTGGCATGTGACAAGACACTATTTGTTGCAGACGATGAACGGCCAAAAGTTCTGCCTGAAGTGGGACCACTTCCGCACCAGCGTCACCTCCGTCTTCAACAACTTGAGGCAGGATGAGGAGCTGGTGGACATCACGCTTTGCTGCGAGGGCCAGAAGATAAAGGCTCATCGCATGATGCTCTCGGCCTGCAGCCCCTATTTCAGGGAGCTGCTTAAGGTATGGCTCGGGCAGCTGGTTTACCATTTACCATCTGGCCATGGAATGTAAGATCAGTGATGATGTAGGGCCTCGTGTAGTTGATTGGCCATTTAGCAGTGATTCTGCATGGAGGGTGTGCATACTCGCCACTTTTCAAGATTGCCCGCCCATTTGTGACTTGATGTAGTAGTTCCGAACATGCACACCATCAATCGAAGGGTGGTGATTGATGGTCTGATATGGTGCACGCCTTTAGCAGTGCCTCCGCTATAATGAGCAACCGGCCGCCTCTAGTACCAGTGAGCCACGTAGCAATTTTCGGGGACTGTCCAACACTTGGAAATAGAAATTCAGGGGCTTAGTGATGTGGGTCTTCACATTTTTTCATCAGCCTCTGAGAGCACCTCCAACTCCCAGTGATGGTTTTGTTCCATTGCCAATGTTCGTGGAACCAGGTGTACAGGACCCACAACTTGTTAAATGGGCTTTGGGGGGAGGGGGAGAGGATGGGACAGAAACCTTGAGCTCAGCTTATGCTATGCCAGGGGAATAAAAGGCCAGATTAATTGTGTTGTATAGCTCGTGCCTTTTTTACAGTTGAAGTCCTGTGCTCCTCACCAGTGCCTGTACCCTTGCCATATATCTGAAGCATGTATTTTCAATATATCCAAAGCACATATTTCCTAGTTCCATGCTCCTGCTGCTCCCACTACATATCTCCACTACGTATCATTCCTATTAATAATTCTACATGCAGCGCCCGAAAACATCCAACCGTCCTCGCAGTGTTCCGCACCAACTCGTCGATTTCCCCAAAGCATAAACCACCACCACAGCGCAACATCCGGCTCGAGGGCGTTGGACCGTGGCGCGCGCTCCAACGTCGTCGGCTGACGCCTAACTCCCTGCCGCGACAGGAGAACCCGTGCCAGCACCCGGTGTTCTTCCTGAAGGACACGAGCATCGAGGACCTGCGCGCCGTGATCGAGTTCGTGTACCGGGGCGAGGTGAACGTGTCGCAGACGCAGCTGGGCAGCTTCATCAAGACGGCCGAGATGCTGCAGATCCGCGGTCTCAGCGGCGAGGAAGATGATGTGGCGGTGAGGCGGGGAGGTGGCCAAGGGGAGGGGCGTGGGTAGGGGAGTGGCGGGAGGGGAGGAGAGGCCGGCACATGGCGACGGGGCAGCGGTTTGGTCAGACTGGGATGATTGATGGGGTCTGAGTGGGATGGGATCATTTACAATTTCTTTGATGCCGCTGGGTGAATGGACGCCAGGGCTAACCGTCAAAGCGACGCCAAGAACGGAGCTCTGACGACGCCCGTCCGTTCCAGCCGTCTCCGGCGGCGCCCGAGCGACGGCCGGCGCCGCTGTACCCGGCCGAGCGGCGCACGCCGCTGGCCGAGGGACCCCGCTCCCCGGCCAGCAAACGGCGCCGTCTCTCCGAGCCGCCGGCCGCCAGTGAGCCACCGCCGCCGCCGCCGTCGTCCATGATGACGCTTTCGCCGCCGCCTCCGTCGCCGTCGGCGGCCGGCGATGACCACGGCGGCGGCGGCGGCAGCCCGGCGCCAGTGGCAACGCCGCCGCCGCCGCCGTCGGCGCCGCTGCCGACGGCACCGCTGTCGTCGGTGCCGACACAGCCAGCGCGGCCCCCGGCGCAACAGCGCGAGCGGCAGCCGGCGCCGCCGCCGCCGACAGAGATCAAGGTGGAGAAGGTGGACCTGACCGAGGACGAGGACTGCGGCAGCCTGGAGGCGGCGCTTGGGCGCGTGGCGTCGTTCGAGGGTGCCGAGCCGTCGCCGCTGGCCGGTCTTTCCGCAGATGACTCGCTCGGTGAGTGACGCAGACGGTCAGAGGCGGTTGTCGTCCGTGCGGGGGGGGAGGGGGGGGGGGGGGGCAGTGGGAGGGACTCTGACGGGATAGTGGGTTTCAGCCAGGGATGTGGAAGTGCGGGGCAGAGTCCTTCAGAAACCGCGAGGTCAATGAGCGTTTGGAGCGTCAAGTGGATCAAACAGGTGTAGGCGCGTGCTGCCAGGGGCGTGTGAAGCCGCTGTGACGACCGTTACGAACGTGGCAAGGCTCTCATTGGTTGGTGTGCACGGTTTCACTGTGGTGGAAAAGATTAGGGCAGATGGCGTCAAAATTAAATGTGTCAGCATGAAGGTCTTGTTTCCTGTTTTTGTCAAAGGCTTTTGTCGCAGTTTCAAAGCTGCGTTTTGGCTTCCTTCGCACCCCCACCCCGTTCCACTCCCCTAATCCCCAGTCATCCGCTGCGGGAACCTGTGAAGGTGTAGGAATGGCATATATGTGTTAACCATGTCCTTGGCTGCCTGCTTAAAACAGTTTGTGTGGAGACCGCGAGTTCATGCCACGAGTCTTGGACTCACCAGATTTGGCATTTGATGCTGCCCAGCTCTAGAACCTCATCGATGCACAAATCATTGATGACAAATCCGTATAACATTTAGGCTCCTCCAGCTTCCCTGCATAACTTGCATTTCTTGTGTACTGGTGCCGGAAATCCTGTGCGCACATGATCCATCTCCATATACTATCCTTGTCAAAAGCGTTGTACGTATCTGCAGCGTACTATGAGCGCATTGGGTGTGCAGCGACGTTCGAAGTGGTGATCTGTGCTCTGACACTGCTAGTGCTAGTCATTCGACCGTCTGTGCTGTGCTAGTCATCCGACCGTCATCTTTTGTGTGGTCATGTATTTGTATTCTTATCTTCAAACCTTGAGTCATCTGACCGTCCATCTGCGTGTGTGTGATCTGCGCATCCGGTTTGACCCCGCATCTGCCCTCTCAATGGCGTGTCGAGTCTTGTGACCTCGTGACTCTCTGACCGCGGATTCGTCCAGCCCACTCCCAGATCGGCGTCTCTGAGGCGCCCCGCGAGCGAGCGGAATGCCCGTCTGGCGCGTGTCAGTCCAGGTGCCCACGTGACGTGTGCTGTGCCGTCCCCCAGGCGAAGCCGGCCCGTCGGTGGCGCCGCCCGGAGACCGCAGTCTGCAAGGTGAGCCTCCGGCGCCTCGCCCCAGCCGCAGAGATGTGCCCGTGCCCGTCGCCGACCGCCGACCGCCGACCGCCGACCGCCGGTCGCGCCAGCCGTACAGCCGCCGCCGCCGCCGTCTTCGAGCGTAGAGTCCCGGCGCGGAGCTGGAGCCGGTGCCGAGGCGTAGACCCGCCGCCTTCGGGCGTAGAGTGTAGAGCCGTTGCCGCCGCCGAAGCATACAGCCGCCGTCTTCGAGCGTAGGGTCTCGGCGCAGAGCCGCCGCCACCGCGGCGCCCGGCGGCAGCCGGCTCGGCGGAAGAGGGGTTAACGGCGCGGCGGCGCGTGCCGTCGCAACGTGCATCGGCGCGTCGAGATCGGGGTTGGGGTTTGGAGCGCGTGCGGCCGCCGTCAACTGGGGTTGCCGTGCGCGCAAGGCGCAGCTATTAGCGAACGCGACCAAGGCGCGGCTCTTGCTGGAGGTGGACGGTGCTCGTCGCACCGTGAGATCGACTCGGTAGTATGCGTCCATAGGGAATTCACGCACCGGGCACGTTTCGCATTCATCCGGGCACTTCGCGAACAGCAAGTGAGCTCGCTGCGGTTTTTGGACGTGACCCGCAAAGGGCCAACACGAAATGAATTACCATTTCCGTTTTCTGAGTGGCGGAAGGGTTGGGTAGGACAGACGCGCTGCGGTTGCTGGCGGGCGAAACGGGCTGTACCTGGTACTCTGTTCAAACGCCGTGCTTGGTACTCAGCTCAACCTGGGCTAAATTGCGCCGTGCTCTGATCCCGTCGGCTCCGCGGTTAACGTGGTCGCTGGCTCGTACGTGGTGACCGCGCTGCCAACGCAGTGTCCGCGCAGTGAGCTCACGGTCGCTTACAGCGCGTGCCAGGCTGCTGGGTCTCATCGCAGCCGACTGCGCTGTCGGGCGGGCTTCAGCTCTGACGGCGGGCGCGCGTTTAACGTTGCCCGGTGACGCATCGGCGCGCGAGTCGGGTATGCGCCGCCGTGATGCTCCACTTCACGGCATCGGCCGTGATCGGTTGTGGAGAGAAAGAGAGAGGGGGGAGTGCGCGGCGAGGGGGGGGGGGGGGGGGGAGGGGGCAGCGGCGGCGTCTGCGGCGGCCGGCACGGGCACATCCCTGCGGAGATTTCGGCACCCGGCACCAGGCGGCTCCGGCGGTCCCGAGGTGACGTCATATGCCTCCCCTTCTGGGATTGGTTGATGTCCTTGTGCGAGGACCAATCATTTGATAACAGAGTCGGTGCAATATGTTGACACAGTTTCCGTAGCTGTGCAATGCACGGGCAATGCTGCGCCTGTCCCCCGGGCCAAAGGAGCGCAGGAAAAGCCATCCGTATTTCTAGAGTTGCCGACTTAAGTATTGGTTGTGGGACACCTGCTCAGCTGCGTTAAGATGCGCCGACTCTAGCTTAGCTACAGCTGCATCTGACAAACCTGCGGCCACGAACATGGCCGGGACGAGAAATCAAAATTAAGCCTATGGAGGCGTGCTAGGTCAGAAGAAACGGTGTGGTCGGCTCTCACGTGCCCCGCTCGTATGCCCTCGGAGCCTCCTGGTGCCGCGTCCCCGTCTGCTGCTGTGTCTGTGTGTTGGTATTCTCGAACCTGTCCGGAAAGGGTGCCGTTTACGTATCAGTCTGTTTTGGACTTTGTTTGGTGGCTGGCCTGCAGCCGCAGACTGGGATGGGTGTACCTGCCTCGTACGGGGCCCCATACTGTCGTGCCATCCATCCTGACTTTATATATCTATACCTGGTGGTTGCTGGGAAGCTGCGCCATCCTCTCGATGACTTCGGGCGCCTCGTTCTCGTTTGACGCTAGTCGCCGTGTATGCGATTGAGCATCAAGCGGATTTAATGAGACCATCCATCCTGGCTCTATATATACCTGGTGGTTGCTGGGAAGCTGCGCTATCCTTTCTAGGGCTCTTCAGGCGCGTCGTCCTCGTTTGACGCTAGTCACGGTGTATGCGATTGAGTATTAAGCGGATTAAACGAGACCATTCAGCATGGTCTGTGCAGTCCTCACTGGCAGCTGAAATGGATGCTTCGATTCCAGTGGAGCCTATTCCTAACAACCTTCATACCTTCTGATGCGAATACGTTTTTTTGCTATAGAGATCGGACAATTGCTAGCGTGGCGTACGTGGTCTGCGAACAAATAACACCAATCTGGATGACCAACAGTCCTTGAGCGATGAAGGCATCTGTTGAGGTCCGCTATAGTTAATGAGGAGGCGCTGAAGGACACCTTTTGTTGTGAATGCATCCTGGACTATGTCTGCTAACCCACACGATACGATAAGATAAGATGTTCGTGCACATCTAGCACAGTTGGCGATGGAAAAGCTCGCACTTGCTATGTTAGGGTGACTGGGTTCAGTCGAGCTGCGGCTTTCCCCGGCGCTCCGATCTTGAGCACAACACACATTTGGACGGGTGCAGAACACGTTGTTTGGACGCCGTATAGATACTCGGTTCATTCCTTCGTACCGTGTCGTATATTTGTTCAGGTGCACGCATATAATTCGTAGGTACGGTGGCAGGCCCAAACCTCTGTAATTTCAGCTGTGAATGCTGAGTATTTGGCTCCATGAGCTGAGTATATGGTTCCATCAGTTTCATCATCTTTGTTGAACAGTGGACGGGGGCCGGTTCTTAAAACTACGCTCTTGAATTCCACAACATCAACTCGATACCGAATTCGCTGGAAGCCATTGCGGAATTCGCCTGGAAGAGTGATAGGCGGGTTGATGGCCATTTCGGGCCGGTTGTGAAGATCCAAAGTCTCTTTATACGCGGCTATGAAGAAGTTCGTGTGTGAGATGCCGGCTGTGGCAAGCGGGGCTGAACAAGAACGGGGAGGTGGGCCTGGGGGGCCCCAGCCAGATGTTACACTCTCAGATCAGGAGATCGGGAGAGATCATGAGATCACACCCTCAGGTCAGGAGACCAGGAGAGATCAGGAGATAACACCCTCAGATCAGGAGAGATCAGATCACACCCTCAGACCAGGAGATCAGGAGATCACTCCCTCAGAACAGGTGATCAGGAGATATCAGGGGAGGTGAAGAGATCGCACCCTGATATCAGGAGATCACACCCTGAGATCAGGAGATCAGGAAAGATAAGATCACACCCTCAGATAAGGAGATCAGGAGAGATCAGGAGATCACACCGTGATGATGATGATTGGGGTTTTAGGGCGCGCCGACTTCTGGGGTCATTTTGCGCCCAATCATACCATCAGATCAGATCAGGACAGATCAGGAGATAATACCCTCACATCAGATCAGGAAAGGTCAAGAAATCAGATCAGGCGTGATTGAAATGGAATGAACGCGGGCCACGCCACGTGGCTAGATCAAGTACATTTCTCGATTGTTGGACGAGCTGGGACTTCGAATCGTCGCTCTGTTTATCGTTTCCTCATACGCCGGCCGAGGGCATTGGAAGGCTGACACCGTGATACTGAGGCTGGAGGCGCGGGGAGCCCCTCACGCTTTTGTTTTTTTTGAGGGGGGGGGGGTGGACGGGCTGCAAACACGAACGAATTGGTGCGCTGGTAATCCGTTTAGTACGCTCCTTGGATTTTACGCCGGCCCGTTTTATGTGACATTTCTTTGTAGGGATTGACATACGAGATGACCACGCAGTTCGCGACCTGCTAAGCTCAGTCAGTGACTTCAGTTTCATCTCGTAAGCTGTGTGCTGTTGGTGGGTGGTTCTCGTTGCCCCAGTGGAAGAGAATAATGACGGCGTGAACACAAGTGTCAGGAAAGTTTCGAACACAACTCGTCTTTCTGTATACTGGGCTGTAGGCGTGTATCCGCATTATGAGTTGAAGGCTCTTGTGGTACGATAGCGACCTCAAGCAAACCACGGGATACTGACTAAACGGCCGTTGTGATAGAGAGCGATTTTATGGACGGTGCTCAATGTTGAGGGCCGTGGTTATCCTCAAGGACATAAGCACAGATTCAACGTTGATAGTGTAGAATTCCGGTGGTGCTCATCCTCAAGAGGCCTCCTGAGGATAAGCACAGCTCGAAATACTGAATACCGTCAGTATAATCGTTAGTTAACAAGAACTTTCAACCCATAATGCCGACAAGGGAGGGACTGAATGCCTTCCTTTTCCGTATGAAATGGCGTGTATCTGGTTAGTTCAAGCACTGTACCGGAAATGGGATGCCTTTCACGGACTGAAGCAGACATGGCTCTGGTGCCAAGGAGATGAGTCGTAGTTCCGAGCACATCCTGGACACGTGACACGAATCCGGGTCCAACCGCCGCCCACGAGTCCAATTCTGAATCGTTGGAAGTTTGAGCCCGAGCCGATATCATGTCTTCGTTCTAGGGTATATTCACAGCGCCCCGATGGTGTTACGTTTTACGTGGCCTTACTTTTAAACACGGACGTTCCACGCACGCACTTAACAATGGCCGCTGCAAATTGCACTCTTTGTAACGTATGATGCGGCTTTTTCACCCGTCGTCCGTCGTCGACGCTGGGCGAGCAAACTGACTTGTTAATGATAAGATCTGCTGCGCCATGTCTGTCTCACTTTGGGATCACATAACGGAGCAGTTCTGCTCGTGGGGCACAGGCTCTTGTGACGTCGCGCAGAACGCGGCTCGTCGGGACCGCTGCGAATGCGCCCCTAGTCCTGAGACGTTGTCTGCGATACCATCGGGCTCTTACCGATTCGCACAGAGCAGAGAAAGGATCAGAGGCTGTTCAGAGGAGAACGTAATCAAGATTTAAGTCGTAGCAATAAGGTGGTGGGATCGTAACACGTACATTACGTGGCATGGTGCCCATCCCGCCTTGGAGTACAAGTCTTTGCAGTTATTGCATGTACTGCTGCTGGCTTTTAGGAAGTTGAAGGCTTGCTATTAGCAAGAAGGACCCTGAAGTCCCCGTTTTACGGTGTTCTGAGATCGGAGTTCCTATAATGGCAGTTCTAGACATTCAGTATATCAGGAGATA